CACACACACACACACACACAAAAAAAAAAAAAAAAAAAAAAAAAAAAAATTGTGTTATTTGATTCCAATCTCCTCCCTCTCATTGACGCTCCCATTTTCCACATTCGGTGAGCAGCGCAGCGAGGCCCAAACACACCCCTCAGTTCAACATCTGAAGGTCACTTAACATTATGATGTCGAACCAAAGAGCCAAAAGACCCGAAACTCCACACAACCGTAGACGTAAAGGAGTGTCATGTGGATATTTATCACTCAGCAGTCTGGTCAGATTTCCATACTGACGTTTCAAGCGAAACTCCTACTCTGAATCCACGTGACTGCTAGGTAACTGTACCTGCCCAGTGGCCGAATGGTACACATGTAACCGTTCATAAACCGACCATGAGTTCAAATCCCGATGAGGACAACAATCCTAGCAGTTACTCTCCTCCATACATTTCAGGAGAACAAAAAAGGTTTTGGGGATGCCAACCACTCTCCTCATATCAATAACCTACATAAGGCACCAAATCCTGGCCTGTGAATGATCTATGTGACATGACGTCCAGATTTGTGATCAGAACAACAGAATTGAGTCCTGCACTCTCAGTACTTCGCATATCCACATCCAAGGAAACCCCACATAGCACAAAATGACTCGAATTAGATTTCTTTCATCTCACCTTGCGCAGACATTGTCGACCTTGATCCAGTCCTTCACCGTCCCCAACCCACAAAAACACAAAAGATGGTGTATCTGCAATTGTCTGCACAGCACACACAGGACAACCCATGTCACCACAAACTCCAACTGCCACGGCTACCTTCCATTTCACGACACCTTTCAGTTTGGAATAAAAGAGTTCAACTGCACCATTAGCTTAGGATGCAGTTGAGGGTGGTGTTGGGCCCGTAATACCTTTTGCAAATGATACATATTCCTGAGACTGTGGAACATCTCCCTGTAGGTCCCATGACATATGTCAACTGTCAGCATTGGAGTTGGTTCTTCTACTTTCTTTAAGAAAACAAGTCAACCCCCCCAACGCGAAGCCGCCGCCCAGAGGCCGGGATGAGATGAAACGCGAATGAGGGCCATGTCATGGGGCGGGTGGTATAGTAAACCCGGTCAAACCCAAAAACAAAAAAAAAACAAAAAAACGAAATCAGCAAATGAAACGGTGCCCTGCCCAGTTCGAACAGGCACCACAGGGTGTCGCTGCACTACTCTCGACATGTGCAAAATGTGACTGAATCCACCGCTACAACATGGAAAGATACATCGCCATCTTTTTTGTCTTTTGCACATGTGGAGCGCAGTGCACTGAGGCCCGTAGGGCACACAGATTCGGACGTGCGACACAGGGCGTCACGGCATTACTCTCCAAATGTACAAAATGAAAGTGAGTGCAATCAGACTCGCTTTCATTCACACTTCACATGCATGCAAACAGGTTGCGCAGCAAACTGGCGTCAAGCGCCCACTCAGAACTCAGAGATATAGTACCAAGAACGCAGCTCAGATACAAGCTCACTTCAAACGGCTATGACGGCACATCGCCTGTACAACTCTCTGTACGTCACTTACTCAACACTGCTGTTCGCACACAGGATCACCCTGGATATCCCACCCGCAACACCCTGTACACTCGCACACACCCGCACACAACTACAGCTATGGCGGCTATGGCCGCTGCTACTCTATCGCTATGGCTAACTTCCTTTTCGCCCACTTCGTCCTCGGGCTCACTGCAGACCACCTCGCACAAGTCGCTATGGCAGCGCTTCCGCATGGCTTACGCAGGAATCAATAAATGGCTGGTCGCTGCCTCTCAATTTATACTTCTGTAGTCCCATGCCCGTGGTGCACAAAGTCCCGTACGGTACTTGCTGGACTGGACTAGGACTGACTGGGACTGGGACTGCTAACTCAGCACCGGTAGACTCCACCACTTGCCCACTTGCCTCTATCTCAAACGTGAGCAGCTTCGAAAGGCCACTTCCGGACCTTCCGGAAGTTCGTGGACTTGGCCTTTCGAGTACGGTAGCAGCTATGACCTTGACCTCTCAGGACTGTAGCAGCTACGACCTTGACCTTTCAGGATCCCAACAGCTACGACCTCTACAGGGCTGTGACTCCTACTCGACAGACCTACAGATCGAACCCCTACCACTACACAGACCTACGACAGACAGACAACAACAACTGTCAAAACACAGGTCACGGGTTCAAACACTCGCAGTCGACACAGATACTGTACACAGGTAAGGTGAGAACTAGGGATCGAGCCCTGGGATCTGCATTCGCTACTGCTAAAAGGTGAAAACCGTTTCACTCCCGCCGGCCTAAATTTGAGGTCCTCCGAGAATAACTCAGTCCAAGGCAGGGCCTTTACCTTTCTCATCTCTCTCGTAGGCTCTAACTCCATTGGGAGCTGTTCCTAGAAGTTCTGTTCTAGTAAACCAGCGGTCGTCTTCTGATTCCTGATAAGCAAATCGAACCATGTACTGCTTCTGCAGACGACCTCTAACTCCTGTTCTGAACACGTCTTAAAGGGCACCATAAAGGCCACCATATCGTCCATATCCGACCGCGTCACCACGCTCAAAGGGAACAACCCCTCCATCACGGTTGTTACCACGGCCGCACCTCCCTCCTCCACAGCGCAGACCACTCCCTCCTCCACAGCGCAGACCACTCCCTCCTCCACAGCGCAGACCACTCCCTCCTCCACAGCCGCCTCCAGCAACACCCCCCCGCCGACCTCCTCCACCCCTATCACCTCTACCACCATATCCACCAACCCTTCCTCCTCAACCCTTTCCCCCCCCCTTATCATCCACCACCGTTTCGCTCCCCCCACCTCCTCCCTCATCCGGTGCATCCAACACACCACCTCATTCCTCGCCTATCCATTATACCCCTCTTCCTTTTCGACTTGTTAACCAGTGATCGGCCCCGTCCCGTCCTTCACAGATTTCAGCATTGCTTCATGATTTTTGGCAGCCGGGACGTTGCCTTCTAGAGGGAGGGGATAGTTACGGACTCCGCCAGGGCTCGATCCCTGGTCTATCTTTTTGCTGTTTCGGCTGCATCTCGTTTTCGGCCTGGCACCCTTTTTCCAAACCCCTCCTTTGGTACCGTAGGATTTTGGACAACTGGCACCCTTTTCAGTTCCACCCTCGGAACCTTTGCATAAATGCCCCTGGTACCGTACCTGTCACCGGTACTTGTACCGGCTCCCCGTACGGTACGGGAACCAGTCTCGTACCAGTTTCCAGTTGCTGTACTCGTACTCAGTGACTTGCTGTTTCCACATTCGGGAATCCAAGACTTCGACTTTGTGCCCTTGCCACTGTGTCTGCGTCCGACCCTCCGTCGTGTCGAGTGAGTGAGTGTGTGTGTGTGCTCTCACTCTCTCCCTCTCTCTCTTCCTCTCTCTCTACTCTCCCTCAGCCTCGCGCGCGTTACATTCGTGGCATCTCCCCATGTGCGTATGCAAGGAGGGACCTTTCCTTCTCCATTCTCACATGTGTGGTGTGTGACGGGTTGAGTCGCATCAGTATCTGACAGGTCAGGTCATATCTTTGAGTCTTCCGCTGCGCTACATTGTGCTATGTCTGTATATATCTGGATGTACATTGCTTGTTGGTGCTTCGCTGATGACGCCTTGTCCATTCGAGTCCTTTTCATCACTTTGTGGATCCTTGGCTCCATATACATCGCTCAATTGAGCATGAGCTGCACTAGTGAATTATAATCTGACCTGATTGATCAATTGATTGATTCATTGATTCATTTGACCATTGACTGATTGATTGATCGTTTGGTTGATTGATTGATTGATTGATTAAATGATTGACTGATTGATTAATTAGGATAACCTAATCAATGTTCGGTCGCGATATTCTGCCAAACTATAAATTTTCAATTTTTTTTCTTTTCTGAAAATTTGAAATTCTCTTTTGCGCACATTCTTTTTTTTTGTAAATCCGGAATCACGCATTTGCCAAGTAGCTGGAATTTTTTACTTTTTTTTTTTTCAAATTGTAAAATTCCGCTGCTTTGGTAAATACGATTTTATTTTCATTTCGGACAGCTTCCAGCCCGGTTTGTGTTTTAGGGGACTATACTTCTAAAAATTGAAAATTGATGTGCTTACTTTCATCTGAAATATTTCCAATTCGTTTTTTCTTAATTCGGAATTTTACCCCAAACTTGCTAAATCTTATTTTTCAAATTTCAAAATTCCGCTGCTTTGGTAAATACGATTTTATTTCCATTTCGAACATCTCTCTGCCCAGTTTGTGTTTTAGGAGACTATGCTTCTCAAAATTGAAAATTGATGTGTTTACTCTCACCTAAAATATTTCCAATTTGTTTTTTCTTAAACCACTAGTACCTCCGAGCCTGTTTTTGCCGACCCTGAATTTCACTGCGCTCTGAGTTTTGCCGAGCCTGGTACCACTCCGTTTTCTTTCTGGTACTCTCACGGAAAGAACAAAAAAAACCAAAAAAGAAGAAGAAAAGTTGCAGCCGTGAACCTCGAAAAAGAATTTAAAAAAAAAAGGAAACAAAGCTTTGGCAGTGATTGCAGTTGTATACATTCTTGGAAGTGGTAGTGTGAGTGTGCCCTCAATGAGGGCATCTCAGCCCCGTGGCCAGGTTGTCAGATTCCAAAAGGAGAATAAAAGGGGGGGAAAACGGGCACATGGATCCGTAAGTGCCAGTGTGATGAGCCTTACAATCCTCTGACAAAACACAGCTTGAGCAGATCACGAACAGCTTGAGCAATTCACGGACAGGGGACTCGTAAGAAACACACGACCAACAAAAAAAAGAAAACAGTAACATTCAAAATCTGACCGCCTTACCTGTAAGGTGCATTCTGTGGAGGAAGATTGTGAGCACGGCCTCCTCGACTACCCAGCCCAACATCATTGCAGTAGAGAAAGCATTTTTATTTGCCTTTTTTCCGTCACTATAAAATTCAGATTTATGGGACATTGTCGACCCTGTGTCCCACCCCGAAAAGTTCGGGTAATGGCCAAGACATCGTAATTTCTTAACACTGGCGAAGGTACCGGTGGTTTAATTCGAAATTTTACCCCAAACTTGCTAAACCTACCAAACTTGCGATTTTGAAATTAATTATTATGATTTTTCCTAGGTTACCAGTCGAGACGCCTGGGACACCCTATTTTCCCAGGCAACCCGGCCGTGGAAGGACCAGGAAAGGTCCTAGCAAAAAAAAAAAAAAAAAAATCACAAAAATTCCAAAAAAAAACCTGCGTAGCACGGCGAACGTGTTCGCGCCCCTTCATGCTCGCGTGAACAGCTCGCCAACATGTTTGGGCGAAAATACTGTTGTTTTCGTAAAAAAAGTAAACAAATAATTATTATTATTATTTCGGTTTTTTATTTTTAACTCATGATTGGCTACGAATTTGAACATGACTCCAAAGCAAAAGTTGCTTGTATTGTTATTTTACATAACATATGTTCTTTTCAGATTTTTCTGAGAATTTTTTTTTTATATATATTTTTTATGTTCACGTTCGGAGGGTTTTGGGCGCTTGTTCGAACATTTCCGCGTTCGCCTCCGAACGCGAACAAGGTGCTACGTAGAAAAAAACTGTCATGCAGAAAAATAAACTGAACTACTTTTGCATCAGGGTCCCATCGAAATTCTTGACCACATTTGAAATCAAAAATTTAATTAAAATTTAATTTTTATATTTTATATTTTTTTATTTCTTTTTGGCCCGGCCGGGCAAGTGCTCCCGGGCCACTCTGGTAGCCTAGTATTTTCCCGAATTTTTTCGAATTAAAAAAACAGAATGGCTACCATCCAAACACCCAGACAGACGTCCAAACGGTCTGTTGCCGGTGCCTGGACGCCAGACCGCAGGAGGCCCCGTCCGAAAGGGGCCAAGACCCCGAAATTCAAAACAAAAAGGGGCACCCTAGACCTGTTCCTTGGGTCCACGGCGCCCCCTGAAAATTGTTTCCGTGATTTTTTGGGCCTGTATCGGCCAGACTGGCCCCTTTTCTATCTTGGGCAGACCGTTGGACGCAAAGAGCGGGTCACCGGTTACAAAGGGAAGAAAGTGTGGATCTAGGCACTGCAGAGTGCTTTCCCGCCCACCCGCCGCCTCCGCCACACACGCACACACACAGAGGGAGAGGAAGAGAGAGCCCTCATTACCATAGTGAACTGGTGCACACATCTGCGCAAATGCAAGAGAGAGAGAGAGAGAGAGAGAGAGAGAGAGAGAGAGAGAGTTTGAACTCGGACTTCGAACTTTGAACTTTAAATTCTGAAATGCTTTTAAGTCTTGAACTTTATTTAATATTCACCTTTATTCAAGTTTACTGCGGAGTGCTCTTTTTTTTGTTTCTTCACTTTTTCTTCCCTTGCAGCAGTTTGTGCTTTGCAGTGACTGTGCCAGCTCAGTGCATGTCAAGGAATGATCATTCATGTTTGTCATATATGCCAACAGCTACGTCTTCCTGGAACACTTCCTCTTAAGTCACAGTTATACCATGAAACTGCATTCAACATGCATAAGAGACCTGCCAATGTTTGTGCTTTTGTTTCTCTTTAATCCGTACCGATCCGAACATGATAATCCGGACCATCCGAACCGATCCGAACCATGTCCGGATGGGTCCAGATATCCAGACGTCTGAAACATATCCAGACCGACTGGTTGTCTGGGTCCGTATCGGTCCGGTGTTTGCGTCCATGGTGGCCATGAAAAAAAGCAAAGTCCAATCTTTTCAACTTTTCGATTTGTGGCTCCTTATCTGGGCGATCAATTTGACCCATACATGCAAGCGCCCGTCGTGCGCTGATTCGCGGACCATTGGCGCTCAAGCGCACCCCAACGAAGCCGCGCACGACCTGCGCCGCGCACAAAGTCCCAGGCCAAAATTCAAAAAAAAAAAAAAAAGGCCCGGATGTCGGCTGCACTCCAGCGCGGCCCAAAACGATTTCGTATTTCGTTTTGGCTGGTGGGGGACCATTTCCTAGTTTACGCAGGTCAACACTGGCAAGGCTTCAGCGGGCCGTTTACTCGTTGCAGCTGCCTCCAGTCCACTCCAGGAAGCAGCGCTATCAGTTCCCCGCTACGAGCAGCGCTGACCTCCCCTGTATTTGCATCATCACTGAGGCTGAGCTCTGGAGCGACCATCACCGACTTCAACCCTCCTCCAAGGTGAGTCTTCACCAGCCCTCCTTCCCTCCCTCGAACTCACCTCCTCCCCCTCCTCCTCCTCCTCTCCTCCTCCTCCCACTCCATCCCTCCTCCTCGTCTCAATAGTCCTTTTCTTTTTTTTCCATAGTGTCAGATCTTGTACTCGGAGCTTTGATAGTATCTCGGACTATCTCCTCGTCACCTCCGATAGTATCTCAGCCTCTCCTTGTCACCTCCGATAGTATCTCGGACTATCTCCTTGTCACCTCCGATAGTATCTCAGACTATCTCCTCGTCACCTCCGATAGTATCTCGGACTCTCTCCTCGTCACCTCCGCCTCCTCCTCATCCCCTCCTCCATCTCTCCTCCTCGCCGTCAATTCATCCTTCACCTCTCATCAGCCTCTCCTCCTCATGCATCTTTCTTCCTCCTTCGCCTCCTCCTGTCCTCCTCCTCCTCCTAGTCAAGGTCTCCGCACGTTTTCTTGTGTAAACTTCGATTTTTGCCAGTATCACCTCCTCTACCCTTAGTTGTCCATCTTTCCTCCTCTACATCTCTCCTCATCCCCGTCCCTCCTCATCCATCTTTCTTCGTCCATGTCTCCTCCTCCGTCTTTCATCATCCATCTTTCCTCCTCCATCTCTCCTCGTCCTCCTCGTTCGTCCCTCCTGGTCCATCTTTCCTCCTCCATCTCTCCATCTCTACTCTTCCAGCTCTCATCCTCCTTGTCACGGCCTCGTCACTTTTTTTTTTCTTTTTTTAATGGAAACTTTGAAATTCAACTGTGATGGTATCTCGCCGTCCTCCTCCTGCTCTCTGTCTCCTCATCCTCCTCCTCCATCCCTCCTCATCCATCTTTCCTCCTCCATCTCTCCATCTCTCCTCCTCCACCTATCATCCTCCTTGTCACTGCCTCGTCACTTTGTTTCTTTTTTTTTAATGGAAACTTTGAAGTTCAAACTGTGATGGCATCTCGTTGTCGTCGTCGTCATGCTCCTCCTCCATGTCTCCTTGTCCTTCTCCTCCATCTCTCCATCTCCCCTCCTCCACGTCTCATTCTCCTTGTCACGGCCTTGTCACTTCTTTTTTTTAATGGACACCTTGAAGTTTCAACTGTTGCAGTGGGCCTCTATGTGCCCTGGCCTACAGCCAGGGCCTATTCGGCCATTTGCCAGTTCGGCCTCTGGGACCAGGCCGTGGGCTGACCCCACAGGCCGTGTACTGTTTCAGTCCAGTCCAGTCCTACCCGGTACCACTGTCGGTACCAGGCCAGCCCAGTTCAGTCCAGTCAGTCCGCTGGGTGTATACCCCAGCTGCAGTCTGTATTCTGGATCATTCTTCATTCTGCACTTTTGGAGTACGTGCGTGTTGAGTCCTCGTCAAAGCTCCGCTGTCCCTTCCAGCTCCATCTCCATCTCCATCTCCTCCCCCTCAACCCTTCGTCTTGATCCTGATGGACCGCCGTCCCGGCGGGCCCGTCACATTGGTATCAGAGCGGGAACGTTCCCCGCTCCCACACCACCTTGGCCCCACCGATGGAAAAAACGGTGTAAACCCCAAAGCAGTTTTTGAGGTGTTTTTCGGGCGTTTTCGTGGTCAACAGCGGGCGAAAAGTTGCAGCGGCGACGGAGCGAGAAGGCAATGACACGTGGCAGAAAAGAGAGAGCTAGCACGACGCGTGCGTGCAAGCGCCAAGGCCAAGGCCGCCGCACACGCACACGCACGTGCCACGTGCCCACGCTGCCCCGCCCCCGGATTATCTTTATCAAAACCCAGGATGCATGCTGCTGCCAGGGTTTGAACCTGGGCAGCTGCTGGCCATGCGCGTGCATAGCCACCACTGTAAGACACTGGCCACAGTGTGTCTATGTCTTAGTAGTGCGGCACGCTGGTGTTGAAGAGGTGCTGTGCCAGTTATTAACCCCCACCTCCCCCCCCCAGCGTGACAGCAGCACGTGGCCATCTGCAGTGCCACGTGGCAGCTTGCCGTGGAGGTTGAAGGCCCCCTTGGCTAGGGGGCTGCGCCACATACACACACATATATATATCGTCACAAACAGAACTGCCCGGTAAACCGTAGGCAGAGAGAGAGAAGAGGACAACAAACGAGGGGCTGTGACAAACT